TTGTTTGGGGTCTCCTCTGATACAGAAAGGGAGCTGAGCGTTTGCGTACATTTTTGAAGAAGTCAAACTCAGGCTGAGGATTTCCATCGGTCTCACATTTCATGTCCACGTTATCCCCCTCTTTGACTGGATTCGTATTGAGTAGAAGAAAGGTAGCTTTCTCCGAAGGATCTAGATGGACAAGAACGGGAACAAAACAGGCAAACAGTCCTTAATTGGTTATAGTTCCAGTTATAGTTCCAATGGAGGGTTGTAAGCACCCTTTTTACTATGTGTTATCACCCTTCTTCTAATAACGATACTTGGACTACTAATTCCAGCTTGGAGCCTTACATGATGGCTCTTGGTTTATTAAGTCCTAAGAATTTAAACAACTGCATTCTCAAAGATAACCAGATGCAAAGTGATTTCTGGGGTTCATCCAAATGCCACTATGATCTTTAGATGAGGAAAAGAGAACATTTATTTCCACCTTAGTCTGACCAAAATCAGATTTTTAAAGCATGTATGGAAAAAGTATATATGGAGAGCTTAGTGAAATAACTATGATCACAATTATGTTGAGTCATGTTGATAATGAGAGAAAAATCGTGCTGCACGGCAGTGGGAACTGCTTGATAGAAACCAGCAGATCTTTTCTGTCCCTTTGAGCAGTCAAATAGTGAAAAATCACAGGACCTGGAGATGAGATAAATGTAAGCTGAAAAATACCATCTTTAGATCATGCTTGCTGAGTGGAATTGGCATACTGCTCCTACAACTGCAAAGGAGAAATGCATAAAACAAACAAAAAGAGAAAAAATGTCTGTCCCTCAACAAGAGAAAGTCCTCTGTTAATGGTCTGCCAGTTTTTCTTTTTGTCCTAAATTCATCGGTCACCTATATTTTCACATTGAAAACTTTTCTGGTCTAGAGGAAAACCTCTGATTAACAAAATCAAACAATAGAAGCCTCTACTCACAGTTGAGGTTGATTTTGGCGATGTCAGAGTCCTTCTTTTTAATCTGTCCTCCTGGTACAGCGTACTCCACGACACAGTGAAACTCTGAGTCCTTGTCCTCTTTGGTGGGCTGCATGTACAGGGTGCTCGTTATGGTGAAGAGACCTGATGCCTCTTTCACCACTGAGGGAACCATGTAGGTCTCTGAAAGAGAAGGGAAAACATTGTTAACATGGTTGACTTCAAATGATTAACCTACAGACTCATATCAAGCAACATACTCTCGCTTTTGTCTTTGACTTCAGGAAGGGGCTCCTTGTTTTTGAACCAGATGATCCTTGGCTGAGGGTGTCCATTCCTTGCCTCGCAGGTTTCAATCTGAGCAAATATGGAAAATGCAGGAAGAGAAATGGATGTGAGTAAAATAAATAATCCAGTGAGAATCTTGTAATGAAACAACACACATGTCAGATCACTAACCTCTGAGCTGGTAGTATCCCCAACTGAAATGGCCTGATGTGATGTCTTTGTGAGCACTGGCTTCTCTGGTGCAACTAGGAAAAGAATGATAACATCATCACGATTCTCGAGAGGAAAAATCTTTAGTTTTAGAGTGATATGTAAGAACACTATCATTGGCTTCCAATGTTTGCAACCTTACTCACACATATGCCGACATGTTCAGGAAAATAAACTGCTTCTTGGCATTCCACTCTGACCTGGTTAATATGAGCTGATAAAGGTTGCACCACAAAAAACTCCCACTTCCGACTCCCCAGCTCACACACACTGCCACAGGTGCAAGCATTCCTTTTTGTTTCTCTGCTTTCTTCCCAAATGCACTTAGGTCATCTTATCACAGCCGGCAGCCGCTGGCTGCTTTAAAAAAATAAACAGTAGATGGATATTTCTCTCTCCATCTCAGTCGTTTGATTTTTCGGAGCAGTCCCGACACCCCCACTGGCCCAAGCACTTCGCCATAACCCTGTGTTTTGTGTCATTCCTGTGCTGGGTAAAGTGGAGCTATTCTTTCTGAAAATCAAGCTTTTCAACTGGCCCTCGAGATGGAGCATTTTCAGATCCCCAAACAGAGAGGCAGTCCATTTTCTAGGTAAAGATTTCAACCTCTATACCCTGTAGCCCCATTCTGAAGGGCCACTACCCTGTCAAGGACACTCCAAAGCTGCAAGTACAACCAAGAGGGAGGGTTTAGGTCTGAGTCTTTGTGTTTTTGGGTAACACTTTTCCTGAAACTGCTGTTCAGTTTTCATCGTCATTCTCTTTTCAAATAGTATAGGATACAAATACCAAATACATTTAGATCCATCTTGATGATTGGTTTTCACGGCTATGTAAACATTCTCCATCTGCAGGTTTTTTTTGTTAGCATAATGTGAGTTTTAATTTAGCTTTTTTTCAGTTTCCCAGACATATGGTTAAAATACTGCTCAAATTTAAAGTCGCACTTCTTAGGGCAGAGCAATCAATCTCTTGGTGCTGCCCAAACCTCCACTGGAGACCTCATAACTCAGTCCCTTACGTTAAGGTGTTAGAAATACACCACAATTCAATCGTCCCATTATTCAAACTGTCAAATGCACAAAAAGAATAATAACTGGTTTGTGAGACAGGTTGTTTTCTTAGCAGTGTGGGCATGAAGTGTGTCAGGGAAAGCCTTTGTCAAATATTACTCCATTGAGGTTTTGTCTAAGACTGACTGGTCCATTCACAATAAAACGCTTATTTATGAGGTTCTTTTTAACACCAGCCCCTCTAAGAGCATAAATGTTAATGGATAACCTATAAGCTCTTTTTCAAGAGGAGGCATTGTTAAGGACAGGGTTGCCTTGCAAGTTTCTTAACACAAATCCCCCTCCTCCTTAGTGAGACCTATGGCCCAATCTGAAATGCAAATGAATCCTGCTCATTCTGGTTTATCTGCTGTGGGAGGGGGAAGGACATAGGCGCCTCCTCGAGGGTCAACCCTTAGCATCTTGGTGATGAATCCAGATTCGTATTAAAGTGAAATATATGAGACATGACAAGTGTGATGGAACTATTCATCAATTATGTCAAAAGTGATTAGATTGGGGTTAATTGACCTCTGGGGAACTTGTCAAAACAAATTGGCAACCCCAGGCTTCATAGAGGCTCCAAAGTCGTAAATACAATAATAAAAAATAACTTAGTCTGCTCTATTTTTTGCTAGAAGCAGACAATCGTAGCAAACCATGATCCGTCTCTTCAAAATGTTAAGTGGTATCAACATGAATGTGTGAAATATGATCAACATCATGCATTAAATACAATTAAGCCAATGTATGCAGCCAAAAAGTTCATTTTAACCACTAATGATAATTATATGTGCATGCATTTTTATTAATAATGCTTAAGTAAAAAGAAAGAAAAACAGGTTAACGTACAGAAGACTTTGAGCAGTGACTCGCTCTCTTTAAACCCCTCTGGGCCGTCGGTGACACGACAGAGAAAGGGAAGCTCATCAGAAGGTTCAACAGGAGAGATGATCAAACTGAAGTCCGCTCCAATAGTAACCCGTTTTCCAAAACGGGTGACATCGTCATTTTTTGCCGGTCCATTGTGGGGCTGAAAAGCCACGCGTGTCGTTGTTCCCTGCTCGTCCTGAAAGGAGGGAAGGAAGTGAAAAAAGCACTCCGGTGAAAGATGAGGCAAAAGGGGAGGGGGAAATGACAAAAAAAATGGACCTGTGTTTGCACTGTGTCAGGCGAAGAGGATAACTTACAATGTACCACTCCGCAATAGTACTGCTTGATTTTGAGCCGGTGTACGTGCAGGGCAGCTTGGCTGTCTGTCCTTTCATCACTTCCACTTCAGGCATGACCGAAACAACTAAAGTCCCACTGCAACCTGTAAAAACCAAAAGAGCACACAGCAACAAAAACATTAATAATTGCAAGAAGAAGGACTGAACAGGTTAGAAATAAAGTTCTAACGATGCACGCGGGACATCAGCCCCACAGTTGTTCACGATAACAAGTTGCTTAAAATGAAATACAACTTAAGAACACACGAGGCAACAACTGGGCACATTCCTGAGACACAGCAGTAAATCGCTAAAGATTAGGAATATGCGGTGTCCGTGAGGCAGAGAGTCAGCACCAGAGATCGTCTTTTTCCTGCAGGGCCTTGGGCTCTCATCGCTCCCCGCTCACTCATCAGCAACAAGAAGCTACAGTGTGGCATTACACAATGTTTTTACAGCACAGCGCCTCGCAGGATACACACACACAGCTAAACACACACTCATCCATGTACTGTTTGCCCCCTGCAAATACGCAATACGGTTAACATACTCACAGCTGTACAGAGATAATAACTGATACCAGTGTGTTGCCAAAGGTTCAAATCTCACATGCAAACACACAGACATATGTGACTCATATTCATTCCAGAATACAATAAATCCCCTCGAAAAAGTAAACCAATCCTCATTGTGTACTGTTGGAAGAGTGAAAGAATATTCCATCTGAAATCTCTTACACAGGATTGAGTTTGATTCAGATATAAAAAGCGGCATCAGGTTGGCGACCTGTGAATATGATTGAATCGCTAACCCTGTTTGTAAATCGAGGACATACCAGATACTGAAACCACAGACAGCAAATTCAAACTTATAAAAGGCTGACGTAACAGGGCCTCTGTGAATGCTACTGTCAGTTTTTCCTATTCACCAGGGACATCAAGATGCACCCGGTGTCCCAGATTTTCATTTAATAGCATGCAGCTAGAGGACAGAGTGAACTCTTACTGGTTCCCGTGGGGACAGATAGAGCTATAACACCCCAAGCATTCTGTACAGCCACCTACATGCAAACAATACAGCTATTAGAGAGGATTGCATATAAGGAAGGGTTGGAGGAGTGTAGGACAAAGAGGCTGGACGAAGGGAAAAACCTCCATTTTCTATTAATGAAGTTAGTGCGTCTGGTAGAGTGTCATAAATCTGTTGTTGTGGTAACACATGGTGACACTTCCGTCCACTGTGTTGTGAAGGTGAGGCTTTAATGAAGAGCAGCAAAGGACAACTTCATGGAAAGTACAGGGTGATTAAAATTAGTGGCATGACACTGTCAAAATACATTAAAATCCAGCCAAAAGTGTTATATCTATATTTAACGCTCAACTGGGCATGATATTGTTGAATCTATTCGACATAACATACAGACAAAGGCACTTTGCGGCACATTCAAAAGTATCATTGAAGTACAAAATGTTTTTGTGTGAGCAGCTAATGAACAACACATCCCCATATTCTGTGTGGTACCATAAATTAAACATACCTTCAATTCCTCAACTACAAATTCTACAGCTGAATTATTTATTTGTTGTGAAAAACTGCCAAGAGTGGGGAGGATGGACTTCTGGGAATCATAGCTGTCTGACAGGCAAGCTTTAATAACAAGGCAGAGAAATGCAGATGGGAAAGATGAAAGAGTGTTTGCTGGAAATGTCTAAAGAGAGATGAGAGGAGTTGAGCGATGGCCACCTTTTTATCAAGCTACTGTAAGGAGAGGGAGGAAAAAGATGTAGGAGAAGACAGAAGGAGCACCACACATGAAGGAGATACATGTTGAGCTCCCAAAAATACCCTCTGAGGTTGCTGTGCTGTTATTGACACACATTCCACTGAGGTCGCTCGCTGTGATTCAGCGTGACCCACTAACCAGGTAGAGTTTACAGGTCAGCAAAGTGCTGACAGATGATGAAAACATCTTGTCATCTTCCTGTCTTTTATTCTTTCAGTTCCTCTTTATTTACTTTATCTCACTTCCCTTGAGTCTATTTCTAATCGTCTTCCTTGTATTCCATCTCATTCCTACCCATCATTTTCAATATTTTAGTCTTCAAGCATGGCGACTTTCAAGCTCGCATGAACTTTTTACAGAGAAAATCTCATGTTTTGCTTTTGTAAAAAGGATGTAGCTGGAGAAAAATAAAGTCTTCTGTTTCTATGTGAACACAAAAGGCAAGCAAGACAAACAAATGTACAAGAATGTGTGATTAAATGAAGCTCTGTACTTTTCAACAGCACTTAGGATTTAAGTGTCCTGTTAAGTGGTGTGTGGGAAAAACACACATTCACAGACACAACATTAAATTAAGTGACTTTTTGGCATGTGCAAAGAAAGCTCATTTCTTTACTTGGCTTGATAAGTGTTCTGCTTTTCATGCTCCAAACACAGCTCTTTTGGATGGTGGTACGCTCTTGCACTGTGTGTGAAAACTAAAGAAATGATCGAAGCATCCTATATTGACTTCAGCAGGCGAAAGATATGATCTATCCTGGACCTAAGAGCTTAAGCCAACTTGGGTTGGTAATAGTGTTTGATGTGATAGAATATAATGAACTACCCCTTGGGGAAACTGACCCTATACTCAGAGCACACATGTCCTCTGAGTAGAAACCAGGATATATCATGATAATAATTTGTCCAATTGCATTGTTGTTACAGATTTATATAGCATATATCTATGCATGTTTAATACTAATGTATTATTGAGACAGTAAGAGTAACTTTGGTCTGTAAATGTAACTTTCATTGAATTTTCCTTAAAATTTACCCACCCTTTTGATTCATAAATCAAAAGGATGAAAGACAGGAATGATGGGAGAGGTAAAAAAAAAGATTTGAAAAAGATTTCATCTTAAATTTCTGCTGAATACTGTTTAAAAAGCAACACAGAGGCAGCTTTACGTACCAGTTAAGGTCATTTTATAAATAAAAGTAATACCTCATTGACAAAAAATTCATTTCTTGTGGAAAGTTAAACATCCTTCTTATATGTCATATAAAGCCCATTTTTCAATATTTACAATAAATGAAATCTCATTTTCAGAACAACAAAAGGTCCTGCTTTATCTATTTATTTTTTATTCCTTCCTTTTATGGAATAATGACAGTGAGAACTTGAAACATAAATCAAACAATTTGCCGAGGATTATTGGGAGGTGTTGATGTCTGAGCGGAGGTAATAATATGGCCTGCAATATAAATCAGTATGCTCCATCTGCGCTATTTCCTGCTTCCTTTTCCAACTCATCTCTCATTGATTTTATTCTTTGTCTCACCCTAACCCCTTCTCTCCCTTTCAAACGCGGCTTTTGGTGTCATTCAGAATATGTTGAGTCCAGCGTGATCAATTGAGCCGCCTCTCTGCTCTTTTACACGCGAGGCAGCTGGACAGACAGAGACAGGCAATTAAAGCATAATTAGGGAGTCCTCTGTCCAATCTGAGCCTAAAGCAGCATGTGGGTGTGCACTGAAGTGTTTGTGTATTTAGAGAAACAGGCTGTTGGCTGCCACCTTGTGTGAAGAGAGTAAAAGAAAGAAACCATGGGTGCAATTTGGGTGGGAGGGGGAGGGTTGTTGGTTGCTGCATGGGGGTCTCGTTAGCTGATGCAGGCCGGATAATCGGATTTAACCAAAGAGAGGGAAAGTGTTTGAGAGGTGGTGTGTGATGGGGTGCGTGACCGGGTGGAAAGACTGATGGACACAAGATGGTCGGACTATGAACTGTACACACCCCCACACACTGTTACAGTATATCTATTATGCATGGGATATTTATGAGCAACCTTCCCAAAAAGCTGCAGTTAAGCACACAGCGTGTGGAGAGAAAAAAAAGTGTCCACAGCGCGCATTGAAAGCACTATGGCAGAACAGAGGAGTCTCAGAGATCCATGCCAGTCCCACATCTCCTGAAAACTTAATGTAAAACAAACTTTAATACCCTCTGTCTGCCTCATCTCAGCTTTTTTCTTCAACTCCTCTCCCTGCCAGCATCTCTTTCTGTTTTACCCGCACCCACAGAGACACACACACCCATGAGAGTGCCTCTCATTATGAAAAGAACCAGCTGGATCCTGTCTCTCCTGCTCCCTTTTCCTCCCCTGTTTTCACCTTACCTACTGTCGTATTCTGGACATCAAACCAAGAGCCTCTTTCTCTCAGACTCTCCTCCTTTTCATCCCTCAGTCTCAAAGAGCATTCTTTAATACCCTCTGTTCAAAGTTTCTGGTGTGTTTTTTTTTTCCCCGACAGAAACAAAGGATTTAAAAAATAGCAAAGGAAAGAAACAAAGAAAATTGTGAACATGGGCGAAAAGATGTGGTGGGAATGAAAGAGGAACAAGAGGCAGAGCAAAATACCCTCTTGTACCTACGTGAGATGCACCATTATCCACCAATGTCTCTGTGTGGAGCCAGCATTGCCCTTTTTTGGTATTACCTGCCCGCCTTTCTGCTAGCCCAAACAGCACATAAGAGAGAGGACTGACTGACAAGCATTGTTCTGCACACACCTGGATGCTGGTGGTAGGGGTCAGGAAAAAGCGCCCTAGATCTTAGCCTGCATTTATCACAGTGAGAGATCATAAAACACTGCAACAACACTGCCAGGAGGGGTGGGCTGAAGATTAACATTATCCAAGTATAAAGATGGGAGGGCCAAGGGGAGAGCAATGTCGGACTTGATGAACGAGGAATGTGTGCGTCTGCATGCGTGTTTGCGTGCATTTGTGTGTGGTCCAAAACTCTTAACAGGATTAGTGTGTTTGACTGTTGGCAAAGCAAACAGAGTTCTGCTGCAGAAGACACTGCCTCAATGCCACCGGGGACACGGTCACTTACAGAACAAGGTTATGGCCGAAACCATGGGGAGCTTCCACGTTTCAACACTTTCCACTGACCAGCAGCTTCTCGAAAAACTCTTAATATATTTGATTAGCTTTGACTGACCATTAATTTAGATCGAGACAGATTGCTAATTGTAAAAATATCTTTTCAGAGGACAGTCAGCATTAGTGCCATTAATGGATGGAAATGATTGGAAGACTATAAACAAACTCAAATGAAGCAGCAACAGTCCAAGCATAAACACAGTT